ACACATATTTGTATGTGTATGAATATATTACATGTATTATATTCTCACATAAATTCAGATGTTTGGTGTTCATGTAACTTTGCATATACTTTAGAATGAGTTATCAGATTTTTATATAATGGTTTATAGTGTTCAATACATTACTGTATATTTTATAATATGTTACTGTATATTTTATAATATATTACTGTATATTTTATAATATGTTACTGTATATTTTATAATATGTTACTGTATATTTTATAATATATTACTGTATATTTTATAATATGTTAATGTATATTTTATAGTATGTTACTGTATATTTTATAATATATTACTGTATATTTTATAATATGTTACTGTATATTTTATAATATATTACTGTATATTTTATAGTATGTTACTGTCTCGTCTTGTCTTCCTCCGCTTATCCGGGTCCGGGTCGCGGGGGCAGCATTCCAACTAGGGAGCTCCAGGCCGTCCTCTCCCCGGCCTTGTCCACCAGCTCCTCCGGCAGGACCCCAAGGCGTTCCCGGACCAGATTGGAGATGTAACCTCTCCAACGTGTCCTGGGTCGACCCGGGGGCCTTCTGCCGGCAGGACATGCCCGAAACACCTCCCCGGGGAGGCGTCCAGGAGGCATCCTGACCAGATGCCCAAACCACCTCAACTGGCTCCTTTCGATCCGGAGGAGCAGCGGTTCTACTCCGAGTCCCTCCCGAATGTCCGAGCTCCTCACCCTATCTCTAAGGCTGAGCCCGGCCACCCTACGGAGGAAACTCATTTCGGCCGCTTGTATCCGCGATCTCGTTCTTTCGGTCATTACCCAAAGCTCATGACCATAGGTGAGGATTGGGACGTAGATCGACCGGTAAATCGAGAGCCTGGCTTTCTGGCTCAGCTCCCTCTTCCCCACGACAGATCGGCTCAGCGTCCGCATCACTGCAGACGCCGAACCAATCCGCCAGTCGATCTCCCGATCCCTCCTACCCTCACTCGTGAACAAGACCCCGAGATACTTAAACTCCTCCACTTGAGGTAGGACCTCTCCCCCGACCCGGAGGTGGCAAGCCACCCTTTTCCGGTCGAGAACCATGGTCTCGAGAACCATGGTCTCAGATTTGGAGGTGCTGATCCTCATCCCAGCCGCTTCACATTCGGCCGTGAACCTACCCAGCAAGAGCTGAAGGTCAGAGCTGGATGAAGCTAGGAGGACCACATCATCCGCAAAAAGTAGAGACGAGATTCTCCTGCCACCAAACTCGACACACTCCACACCACGGCTGCGTCTAGAAATTCTGTCCATAAAAGTGATGAACAGAACCGGTGATAAAGGGCAGCCCTGGCGGAGTCCAACCCTCACCTGGAACAGGTCCGACTTACTACCGGCTATGCGGACCAAACTCACACTCCTCTGGTAAAGGGACTGAATGGCCCTTAACAGAAAGCCATCCACCCCATACTCCTGGAGCGTCCCCCACAAGGTGCCCCTGGGGACACGGTCATAAGCTAGTTTTCTTGTCCGGGGATTGGACCGCCAAGGCTCCCGCCTTGGTCTGCCACCCGATTCGCATTGCACCGGACCCTTCATGTTCCTCCTGCGGGTGGTGGGTCCACAGCTGGATGAGCCCAAGTATCCGGTTTGGGCTGGGCCCGGCCGGGCCCCATGGGCGAAAGCCGGGCCACCAGGCGCTCGCTCACGGGCCCCAACCCCAGGCCTGGCTCCAGGGTGGGACCCCGGTAACCCTCCGGGCCGGGTACTCCGACTCTTCATTTTAACCGCCATGAAAGATCCTTCGAACCGTTCTTTGTCTCACCCTTCACCTAAGACCAATTTGTCATGGGAGACCCTACCAGGGGCACTAAGTGCCCCAGACAACATAGCTCCTAGGATCATTAGGGCACTCAAACTCCTCCACCACGATAAGGTGACGGTTCAAGGAGACCGGGGTATGTTACTGTATATTTTATAATATGTTACTGTATATTTTTTAATGTTACTGTATATTTTATAATATATTACTGTATATTTTATAATATATGACTATATATTTTATAGTACGTTACTGTATATTTTATAGTATGTTACTGTATATTTCATAGTATGTTACTGTATATTTTATAATATGTTACTGTATATTTTATAATATATTACTGTATATTTTTCTTCTGTCAGGGTGGGACCTTGATCTCCAAATGACCTCCAGACTTTTACTTTAGAGTCAAAAGAGGACTTTGGACCCACATTTTACAGCCATACTTGGGCACACATCTGTGCGTTGGAATGATGTCATGCGTTGTGTGGTATTTGTTTGTTTAAACGCTCCTAAATATAAAATCTGAGGAGAAACAGCTTCATCACATAACATGTAAGAACCTATAACAGACACCTGTGACTAACTTGAATCTGACATTGTAGCATGGCTGAGCTGGTGTTGTTGTAGCAGAGCATGCACCCCAGAGGGAACGGGCTGGTGCCCCTCTCCGCTTTCTGTGTGGATGCAGCCCTGAACCAGCA